ATCAAAGTAACAGCAGACTCAGTACTGGTGAGGACCCATTTCCTAATTAGTGCCTTCTCACTGTACATGGTACAAGGGGAAAGACAGTTCTTTGGAGCCTTTACAAGGGCATTAACCTCATTCATGAGGGTCCTCCAAAAAGCCCTTCCTCTTACTACCATCACGTTAGGGCTTAGGATTTCAACCTATGAATTTTGGCAGGGGGCATAAAAATTCAGACCATAGCACAACAGAGAAGGATTTTAATAACCAAGGGGATAGAATGAACTGCTCTGTGGACACCATTCAGTTTCTATTCCCAGTCTCTCCTGCCATTGCCCAATGGGTTCATGAATGAAGTGGCCATGGTAGCAAGGCGAGAGGTTATGCATGGGTTCAGTAACATGGACTCCCATTCATCAAGGCTGACCTTGATTACAGCTGAAGCTGAGTGCCCAATCTGCCAGTAGCAGAGACCAACACTGAGTCCCTAACCTGATACCATTCCCTGAGGTGATCAACCACCTATCTGTGGTTACATAGAACAGTTTCTAGAACTGTTACATAGAACTGTTTCTATAATGGAAGGAGTGGTGTTCTATCCTTATTGGAATAGATACTCTGGATACGTATTTGCCTTCTCTGCATGTGATATTTCTGCCAAATCTGTGGACTTACAGAATGTCTCACCCACTGTTATGGGATTCCACACAGCATTGCTTCCAATCAAGGAGCTCACTTCACAACAAGAAAAGTACAACAATGAGCCCACAATCATTGAATAAACATAGAATTCATAAGTTTTACCATGTTCCCCCCTCCCTCCACCATACTGAGGAACTGGTTTTCCAGAATGGGGGAAAGATCTTTTGAAGGGTCAGCTACAGCACTAGCTAGGTGACAATGCCTTGCAGGGCTGAGGCAAGGTTCTCTAGAAGGATGCATATGCTCAGAATCAGCATCCCATATATGATATTCTTTCTCTGATAGCCACAATCCATGGGTCCAGTAATCAAAGGAAATGGGAATGGCATCACTCACCATTACCTTTAGTGCTCCACTAACAAGACTTTTTCAAAGATTCACTTATTAATTTGAAAGGCATTTGGGCCATCTTCTGCTGCTTTACCAGGCACATTAGTTGGGAGTTGGATTGGAAGAGGAACAGGTGGGTCTCAAACTGGTACTCTGATATGGGATGCCCGTGTTCCAAGTGGTGGCCTAACCATCTGGATCACAACAACAGCACAGAACAAAACTTTTGCTTCCTGTTTCTGTGATTTTATTTTCTTCTGACCCAGAGGTCTTAGTCTCAGAGGGCGAAATGCTTCCACCAGGAGAAACAATGATTCCTTTGAACAGGAAGTAAAGACTGCCACCCAATCAGTTTGGGCTTTTAATGTTTTTGAATCATCAGGCCAAAAAGGCAGCTGTAATGTTTGCTGGGGTGATGGATCCTCACTATTCAAGTGGAAATTGGACTACTAGTCCACAATGGAGGTAAGGAAGAATATGTGTTGAATACAGGAGATGCCATAGGGCATTTCTTAGTATTACCATATTCAAGCCAATGGAAAACTAAACCTAGTCCAGACAGGAATACAAATGGTCTATACTCTTCAGGAATGTAGGTTTGGGTCACCCCATCAAGCAAAGAAACATGATGAGCTGAGGTGCTTGCTAAAGGCAAAGGGAATATAGAAAATATTTATAAATATCAGCTATGACTGAGAGATCAGCTGCAGAAACAAAGACAACAACTGTCCTGAGTATTTCCTCCTTATTTTGTTAAGAATATGTTTGCATGTATATCTCAAACAGCTTTGTCTTCTTTTATTCCCTTAATTTAACATAAGATATATTGACTTAACATCATAATTTTTTAAGTATTGTAACTTTACATCCCAGAATTTAAATAGTATTTAAGTTATAAGATATCAAGTAGAAGAATAAATATTACTCAAAGACTTTACCTCTTTGAGGAAGGGGATAAGTACATTTTTATTTGCATGCAGAATTGTTGTGGCATGTCAGGCAGATTTAATGTCCTTGTCATTGTCTTTACTTGGAGATTAAATATGGAGTAAGGAGATATGTATGGGTGCCAATATGACAATGGGTGGACTTGTGATAGTTAATTTTATGTGTCAACCTGACTAGCTCATAGAGTACCCAGGTATTTGGTTAAACATTATTTCTAGATGTCTCTAGGGAGGTTTTTCTGGATGAGCTTATTAGCATTTGAATCAGTTGACTGAGTAAAGCAAATTTTTGTCTTCTCCAATGTGGGTAGACCTCATCCAAATCACTTCAGGACCTGAACAGAACAAAAATTTGGGAGAAGAGAGAATTTGCTTTCTCTGCTTGTCTGTATGAGGTGAGACATCAGTTTCCCTGCCCTTGAGTGGGACTTATTCCATTAGTGATATGGTTCTCAGGCCTTTGGACTCAAACTGGATCTACATTACCAGCTCTCCTGGTTTTCCATCCGGTAGATGGCAGACTGGGAATTTTCTGCTTCTATTAATTGTGTGAGCCAATTCCTCATAACTCCCTCTTCTCTTCTCTTCTCTTCTCTTCTCTTCTCTTCTCTTCTCTTCTCTTCTCTCTCTCTCTCTCTCTCACACACACTTCAAAAAGTTCATGGAAAATTGAATTAAAACATGTTTATTTTGGTGCAAAAATGTTGTGAAATCCATGCATGGTTTCTCCATAGCATGCATTGTCCATGAACTTTTGGAAGACTACTTGTACACATGCTAGTTCCTTTTAATCATTCAAGTTTCAGTTCAAATAGCATTTCCTAGAGAAATATTTCTTATCATTCTGTAACATGGAACTGGAAACACATGCTTTAAGGGTCCCAGAAACAGTCAGCAGTAAATGAAGCAGCTGGCTAAGGAATATGTGGAACCTGAGAATTCCTGGTCTCTCTAAAGAAGGCTGCCACTTCTCAGTGCCAGCTAATTTTTGTCATGTGGAAATGTAGATTAGATGTTGTCTGATCATCGGAGTTATCAAGTTATCAAGAGAAACCAGAAATCTAGATTTTAAATGTGGAAATATTCTGTTTGTTAAAAAACAGTAACAAATGAAAAGTTGTAAAAGCTACATTTGAGATCAAAGTCTATCCATGAACCCTGTTAATGGCACATGCATCTATTTTGTAATCTCTTCTTATCACATTATTCTATTTACTACTGCCTGAAATTACATAATTCCCTATCTGCCTCTTTTTCACCAGAATTTAAACTCCATATGAGACTGTATCTGCCTGTTCAACTCTATATTCCCAGTGCTTGAGACATTGTATCACACATAGTAGACACTTCTAAAAAATTAGATTATGGAAGTTTTCTTTTTTTTAATATTTATTTATTTATTTATTTATGACAGGCAGAGTGGACAGTGAGAGAGAGAGACAGAGAGAAAGGTCTTCCTTTGCCCTTGGTTCAGCCTCCAATGGCTGCCACCGCTGGCGCACTGCGGCCGGCGCACCGCGCTGATCTGATGGCAGGAGCCAGGTACTTATCCTGGTCTCCCATGGGGTGCAGGGCCCAAGCACTTGGGCCATCCTCCACTGCACTCCCTGGCCACAGCAGAGAGCTGGCCTGGAAGAGGGGCAACCGGGACAGAATCCGGCGCCCCGACTGGGACTAGAACCCGGTGTGCCGGCACCGCAAGGCGGAGGATTAGCCTAGTGAGCCGCAGCGCTGGCCGATTATGGAAGTTTTCAAACACGAAAGTACACAAAAAGTAGAAGTAATAGTATAGTGAACTCCATGTACCATTACCCAGCTTCGCTAATTATCAACATTGTGCCATTTTTGTTTAACCTATTTCTATTATTAGTTTTTTACTTAGCATTTTAAAGAAAATCCTAGATATGGTGTTACTTTAAACCACAAATATTTCAGTATTCAGGAAGACTTTTTAAAAAGCATAATTACTACATTATTGCTTTAGCAATTTTAAATACCATCTAATACTCAGACCACATTAATATTTTCCCAATTGGCAAATGGTATCTTAATAAATATTCATTGAACAAATAAATGATGAACAAATGAATATAAGTATACTTTCCAAAGCCTTGAAACATGATCTTCCTTATTAGAAACATTAGGATGACTTGTCAGAAGAGCCTTGGTTTTCAAATTTTAAAAGGTGGAGAATTGATTGGTTCAGCAAGTACTGTTCTAGTCATGCAGATGAAACCTAAGAGTAAAATTCCATAGTGGATATTTACTCAAGAAAAATGAAGACATATCTTTGTACAAATACTTGGACAAGAATATTTATAGCAGATCAACTCATAATAGCTAAACACTGGAAACAACGCAGATGTATATCAACCAATGAATGGATAAACAAATTATGATATATTTACACAATAAAATACTACTCAGCAATTACAGGAATGAAATATGCAACAATATGGATGAATCTCAAAAATATTATGCTGAATAAAAGAAGCCAAGCACAAAGTACATACTGTATGATTCCAATGATATGAAATTCTAGAGTGGGCAAAACCTATCCGCAATGGATCTTTTTCCAAGATCAGAATAGTGGTTGTCTGTATGTGTTGGGGGAGAAATGACTGGAAAGGGGCACGACAGAATTTTCTGGGGGTGATGGCAATGTTTATAGGGGTTTTGGTTACATGAGTGTGTAGATTTTTCAAACCATACTGAATTATATACTTAAGATTTGTAGATGTTTTGTATGCATGTAAATTTTACCAAAAGAGATAAAATATTAGCTGGATAGAGAGATGGAAATGTGGGCATATGTGATAAGGCAATATAGCAAAAATGTTAGTGGTAGAATTCAGGTGTGTTTACAATCTTCCAACTTTATACATATTTGAAGATTTTTATGACAAAATGTTTAGAAAGTTTCATAGTGGGTTTCAAAAGATGGAAGAGAAAAGCAGGGCTAGCCTGAGAACACATATGACTTAGCCTTCCTGAGATCCCTGCTAAGCTGCTTCTCTAGCTGACTTTGGATGAACTGACCTCCACTCCCGGTTCTTGTGTAAACTGGTAGTTTCTTGGCCATATCAACAAGCATCTGCTTCTGGACCTCAGGTCTCTCTTCATTTTCATAGCGCTCCTTGTCTGTATATGACAAGTGGAACTGGAACCAGAAGTGATAGACAAGACATTATTTTCCAAGGTTCACGGGATTAAAAACAACAACAGTAACTACTTAATTGAAAATTATTTGTTACCTAACCTTGTGATATTCTGGTACTGTATGGGCTTATAAGTTTCTCTGGCTAAGTATATCAATGATTGTATCTGGCTTTTATTGCCATCTTTACAACTTTATGAACTAGGCAGCATTGTATATAAAGAAAATAAAACTTAGATTAAGGACCCTGCCTAAGGTTGTGTTCACTCAGTTATTTCTTTTGAGCTAAGATTCACATAATATAAAATTCCATTTTAAAGTCTACATTTTACAGTGCACAATTCATTAGTATTTAGTATATTTAAATCATTGTTCAATAATTATCACTACCTACATCCAGGGCATTCTTGTAACCCCACAAGAAAATCCCATACACATTAAGCAGTCATTCCCCATTATTCCTACCCAGACCTTGGCAACCAGTAATCTACTTTCTGTCTCTATGCATTAGCTTTTCTAGATATTTCATTTAAATTTAATCAAAATTATGTGGCTTTTGGTGCCTGGAATCTTTCAATTAGCATATTGTTTCTAAAGTTAATCTATATTGTAACCTATTTCATACTGCATGCTTTATGAATGAATATTTTAGTGTATGGCCATACCATACTCTGTTTATTCATTTATCTGTTGATGGACATTTGGGTTGGTTTCACCTTTTGTCTATAGTAAACAGTGCTGCTATGAACAATTGTGTATAAGCATTTGTTTGAACAACTGTTTTCAGTTCCTTTGCATATATACTTAGCAGTGGAATTTCTAGGTCACATGGAATTATATTTTTAACTTTATGAAGAACTGCATAGTTGCTTCTTATGCTAGCTGTACCATTTTATATTCCTAGTATTAATGTATGAGGGTTTTGATTTCCTTACATCCACCAGCAGTTGCTATGTTTCATTCATTCATTTAGTTTTGATCTTCCTAGTAAATGTGAAGTGATCACAAACTACTTCATGAACACTTCAAAATGTTGCCTGAAACACATGGATTCAAGAGAACAATTCAAGTTTGAAAATGATTGACTTAACTACGGAAACTTTTTTTCTCAGTTTGTCTTCCAGAATCTTTCTGGGTAAAATAATAATAGTTTCCATAGAAGTGATCTAGATGAGGCCCCAGAATCCAAGTGGGGCTTCTTTTTGTTTGTTTATTTTTCTAACTATATCATCAAGGCAGATGGTAGTTTCCTAGCCTTAAAGATATCCAGGACTGGTGATTTCACAAACTCCTTCAATTGCCTAGTCTACCATTAGTTCTGTAACAGAAGGTTATTTCTTCTTTTTGTTCTCTTCTTGCTTTATTGGTATCTCTACTTTCCTCTGTTCTTAGTCTTTGTAAGTAAACAATATTCTTACCTTCTGGTTTGGTTGCTGTGGAAGTGTAAAGATAGATTTCCAATAGGTCCAAGCAAAGAACACAAAGATGGCATGGTAGAGGATGAGGTAGATAACTGAAATTAAAAAAAAATCAGTGTTTACACTACACTACCTTTTTATTCAATTTGCTAAGAGTTCAAAAAGACAAAGCTCAATGACGAATTTCTATTTTTGTTTTCTTATTACCACTTATTCTTAATAGTATTATTATTAAATGTTGATCCTTACCATTTCTACATGTAGTAACAGAAACGTGTTATAATGTTAAATTTTGAACTACAGACTTTCTGGAAGTTACATGCCTTAAAAGTTGCCATGTGATTCTGGGAATAAAGAAGCAGCTACTTTAATAAATTGCCATTATTTCCGCTTGTGTAGGTACTGAAATGCGGTGATGATATAATTTGCACAACAGTTTAGCATTTACAACATGCTTACATATATATATATATATTATTTTATTTTCTCAATAATTTTGTGAGCTATGCAGGATAGGATTAACTATAACAGGTAACTGATTAACCAAAAGTTACACAGCTAGTTGATAACGTAGACAGGTGTTAAACATAGGACTTCTGACTGTAAATCCAAACCTTTCCAGTTTCCCAAAAGACTACACACATTCGAAGTATGAGTTATACCTTTGAGACAGTTGTACAAGTGGCTCCCCTTTTCATACTCTTTGCTTTTTGGATAGCTCCTCTGATATGGAGGATTTGGGTATGCTCCACAGAGGTAATGACAAAATTGAGTGAGTTCACTGTTTTATTCCAAGTTCTTGAATGGCATGATCTTATTTTAATCCATCAGAAAGACTCAGGGAATGACATGACTCAAGATCAAGTTAATAGGGCTGAGCTTATTGTACATTTACAGCTGTATTGACAAAAAGTCTAACTCTCTTGGTCCAGTGTTCTTAACCATACTGAATAAGTTCTTTAAATGTACTTGATTTTTGTTATGAAATTCCATTTTAAAATTAACGCATTATGGAGTAAAAGGTAAATGTCCACGCCAAACATATATCTCACATCTCACCTCCTCATCCTAAGGTACAACAATTTGGTGTTTGGTGTGTATTGTCACAGATATTCTTGTTTTTATATGCTTATATAAATAAATATGAAATTTTATCATATTTAACATTTTTACTGTATTCTTTTTAAAAAGTAATACATTCATAAGGTTCAAACTTTGAAGGTTTAATAATATATTGTGAAAACTCTTCCTCCTGTTCCCTCAGCCACTCAGATCTCTATCCTGGAAGTAAGAAATATCACAAGGATATGACTTTATAGTGTATCTTTTCAGATTTTAAACACATAAAATCACCAAAATAGTACACATTCTCACACAAATAGTGTCATTCTATACACATTTTTTGTACCTTACTTCTTTTTCACTTACTGTGAGCGTTCCACTTAATGTAACTTGGAGAGCATAAGCTTAATAACTCTCCTGTAAAAATGTTGCTTGAAATTCCATTGCATGAATGTACTACTTGACTGTGCTAGCAAATTAGTTTTTCTCTTTTTCCTTACTAATACAAATAACCCTTAAATGAAAAATTTATATGTGAGGAAACTTCAAAAGCTTCATGGAAAATGGAATTAAAAGATAAGTTTATTAGGCCCAGCACTGTGGCATAGCAGGTGAAGCTGCCGCCTGAAGTGCCAGCATCCCATGTGGGTGCCGATTCGTGTCCTGGCTGCTCCACTTCTGATCCAGCTCTCTGCTATGGCCTGGGAAGGCAGTGGAAGATGGCCCAGGTCCTTGCGCCCCTGCACCTGCATGGGAGACCCAGGGGAAGCTCCTGGCTCCGGATCAGCCCAGCTCCAGACATTGTGGCATTTGGCAAGTGAGCCAGCGGATGGAAGGCCTCTCTCTCGACCCTCTGCTCTTTGTAATTCTGTCTTTCATATAAATAAATAAATCTTTAAAAAAAAAAAGAAGTTTAATTTGGTGCAAAAATGTTTGAAATTCATGCAGTTCGTTTTTATAATACATATATTTCATGAACTTAAGACTCCTTGTTTTTTTTTAAGATTTTATTTATTTATTTGAAAGAGTTACACAGAGAGAGGAGAGGCAGAGAGAGAGAGAGAGAGAGAGAGGTCTTCCATCCGATGGTTCACTCCCCAATTGGCCGCAGTGGCCAGAACTGCACCAATCCGAAGCCAGGAGCCAGGAGCCAGGAGCCAGGAGCTTCTTCCGGGTCTCTCATGCAGGGGCAGAGGCCCAAGGACTTGGGCCATCTTCCATTGCTTTTCCAGGTCATAGCAGAGAGTTGGATTGGAAGTAGAGCAGCTGGGACTAGAATCGGTGCCCATATGGGATGCCGGCGCTTCAGGCCAGGGAGTTAACTCACTGCGCCACAGTGCCAGTCCCAAGACTCCTTGTTATGTCATCAACACATGAACAATGAATATCTATAGAATCAATTCCCTGAAGTGGAATTGGCAGGCCAAAAGTTATGCCCTTTAGCAGTTACTGCCAAACTTTGACTAAGAAATGTTGTATTTATATTTTTGCTATCAATAAGTGAGAGTGCCTCTTCTTCCACAGTCTAACCTTTGTGAACTGTTAGCAGATTTTTTTTTTTAAATTTTAGGTAAGACCTTTATATTGTTTCCTTATATGTTATCACTTACTAAGATTTTTTTCTTTGATTTTATGAGTTTTATATGGGGAAAATTCCATGACTATGTAAGTTAGAGGGGTTATAAGAGCATGTTACAGAGTTCCTTCAGCATGGAATGGGAATATGGAAGCTTTGGTTTTAAAGAGATTAGGAGAAAATTATTTTTTATTTTTTAAAAATATTTTATTTATTTTTTAAAGATTTATTTCAAAGAGTTATATAGAGAGAGGAGAGGCAGAGAGAGAGAGAGGTCTTCCATCAGATGGTTCACTCCCCAATTGGCCGCAACGGCCGGAGCTGCGCTGATCCGAAGCCATGAGCCAGGAGCTTCTTCCGGGTCTCCCATGCAGGAGCAGGGGCCCAAGGACTTGGGCCATCTTCTACTGCTTTCCCAGGCCATAGCAGAGAGCTGGATCGGAAGAGGAGCAGCCAGGACTAGAACTGGCGCCCATATGGGATGCCAGCGCTTCAGGCCAGGGCGTTAACCCACTGCGCCACAGCGCCGGCCCCAGGAGAAAATTATTTTATGTTTACTCTCTCATTATGCACTTCACTGGTAATGAGGTTAACCAATTTGGATAATCTGAACACCTGAGACCTAAGCTCTTGCACATCGCAGTATTTTAAGTGCATTAACTATACTTTTAACTCCAAGGATTAAGATAGGAAGCATGGGGCTTTAACTTGGTCCAGGTCTTACTACACATTAATAACTGATTTTACCATGGGAACTGGAAACAGCTAGCTGCTATTCTTGTATTTTAGGGTTTCACAGAAGTTATGATATTGATGGGTGGATGTTGAGGCTAAATGACTAAGTGATCATTCAGCAGATTGTTAGACTAGGGACTGCACTGTAGATTCCATAAAAATCTTTGAGTTGAGAGAGACTGTAGAGATCATCTACTTTAATCTCCTCATTTTTCAGGGAGGTAATTGAGGCCCAGAGAAAATAATTGGTTTGATAAGGATTACCCACCAAAATTATGGAAGCTATGGAATCAGAATCCAGGTTTCTTCACTCCCAGACAAGAGCTCTTTCCCTTAGAACAGCTAGTCTCAAATTTCAGTTTGCCTCAAAATCACTGAATGGACTCCATCCCAAAATAGAGTCCAAGAATCTAGCAACTCTCTCAAGTGATTCTGAGACAGATGAATCATGAGACACAGGGCCTTAAGAGGTCATTTGCTTTTCTAACTATCATCCTAAGGAGGATGATTTTCTCCACCATCCCTATCAGACAATTAAATCATCTCTTCCAATAGCTGAAGTGAGTATTCTTGAATTAGGGGAAGGCCTTATGATTCCCAATTTTATGTTTCTTCCCCTCTCCCCAGTGTGCACACTTCCATTCCTTTCTGCCTTAAAAAAACGCAATATATTTCTTTATAATTATTTATGGTATCTAGAATAGTCATCCTTTTAAGCTGTAGTGATGCTAAGTGTGATGCTCCCGTAAGGTTTCAGATCCCTGGAGAAACTCAAACACTGTGAACTGTACCCTTGAATTGCCACTACTCCTTGACATTGGAATAAAGTGAAAAACATCTTTTTTAAGTAAACAAGCAAAGCAGAGCCCTTCAGTTATCTGGCAGTGATTAAAGCCACAAGCCCAAAGTCTTTTAAGTGTTTTTTTTTTCTCTTTTCTTCCACAAAGTGCAAAGGTCTGCAGGAATAGAAGAATTCAGCCATAAAAAACATGGCCTCCTGCCAAGGAAAAATCAACCTAACCATACAGTTATTCTGAATTCAGTTACTGTATTGCAATGTTAATGTCCCATTATGTGAACAGCTTCTGAAATGAGAACGACTACTTGAGCTTTTTTTCTGAAATAATGATTCATAAACAACTTGGTAGAAATTATGGAATCTGAAATTACATGGTGGAGGTAGCATAAAGTTGTTATTAGCAACATTTTGGTCAGCAGGGTGTTTTTCTAGCTGTTGCTCTCAGGAGCTAGTAGGAAATGAGTGATTTTGTATGTGTCTATATACGACACCTGGAAACACATCCTTGTGTGAATAAGAATGAATGTAGTAGCAAGGTGTAAAGATGTACACCAAAGTAGGGGGGGAAAGTAATGCAGCAGACACACACACACACACACACACACACACACACACACACATATACCTCCACACATGTAAATGCTAAAGCTGTTGCTGTGGCAATTATCCAACATACCTCTTTTCTTTAAAAGCTATCATTGGAAACAACCGATGCTGGCGAGGATGTGGGGGAAAAGGCACAGTAATCCACTATTGGTGGAAATGCAAACTGGTAAAGCCACTATGGAAGATAGTTTGGAGATACCTCAGAAATCTGAATATAGCCCTACCACACAACCCAGCCATCCCCCTCCTCAGAATTTACCCAAGGGAAATTAAATTGGCAAATAAAAGAGCTATCTGCACCTAAATGTTTATTGCAG